GTTCTCTTTCCCCTGGAGCAGCGTATTTCTGTTGATGAATAACTAAAAAGAGTCTTGATTCTGACTGATAGGACACAGATGACATTTTTCGTGTACATCTGGAGTGCTGTCAGACTGCGGGGTGCTTGAATGTTTATGAACGTGTGTGTAGTTAGTTCAGTAAGAACTGAGAAAGCTGCAGCTGATACAGAACGCTGCTGCTCGAGTCCTCACTAACATTAAAAGAGTGGATCACATCAGTCCGGTTCTGAAATCTTTACCCTGGCTTCCAGTCGGCCAAATAATTAATTTTAAAGTTATATTGCTAGTTTTTAAATCACTAAATGGTTTAGGACCAACGTATCAACGATCTCCTGCATAATTATGAACCATCCAGGTGTCCGGGTCTTCTGGAACGGGTCTGCTCTCGGTTCCGAGAGTAAGAACACAAAATGTCCCCACAATCTGGAGCAAACTGCCTGAATCATGCACGTCCGCAGAAACTCTTACTATTTTCAAATCGAGACTGAAAACATATCTTTTTGCCGCTGGTTTTAATTGAACTGCTTACTGCTCATATTCACACTGCAGTTTGCTTTTTATTCATGTATTGTATAACTGTTGTGTTTATCTTATTACCTTTGCCTTTTAAATGACTGTTGTAAAATGCCATTATATAATGTGTTACTGTATTTATTCTAAAATGTCTTTTATTTTATTTTGTAAAGCACTTTGAATTGTCGCGTGCTGAAAAGTGCTATATAAATAAACTTGTGTTTTTGAGCAGTGACTTGTTTGATCCTTCACACTGTTATCAAAATTAGAAAATGTCACATGATTACCCAAGGTTGATTGGTTTCAAACACCAATTAGAAGATAGAAACAATAACAGATTATTAGAAAAGCTTGAAATATATAGTGCTTACCTTTCTTCTTCTTCAGTAGTCTGAAAATATCTTAACAGACTCCAGATCTGTTGCAGATTAAAACCACATGTCCAACTTTCAAAAACGGTTAAAAATAATTGAACAATGTCAAACAGCATCAATAAAACACAGTAATTGTGGCTGTAGGTTTTGCATCTGTAGAACTAGCAAATTGCATGTTGTAAAAAATCATCAGTTTGCATTTGGCGCCCCCTTGTGGGTTAGAACTATAATAGCCATGAGATATTCATCGGTAACTAAAAAAGGTAAATGTATTCTCTTATAGTTACAGAAAATCAGATTACTCTAATATTTAAAAAAAAATAGGGATCACAATGTAAGTAAATCTAAAAAGAGCATATTGTGTCTGAATTTTAAGCACCTTTACTATAGCATAAAGTGTCGAAAAAAAGGTGTGTTGGTGTGAGCATGTCAATTTAGTCTGAGCTCAGGGATGTTTGCTGTTGAAGCAGCACTTTAACACACCTTGAACGTGATATTTCTGACGTAGCGGAGTAAGAAGTGTCTCAGAAGACCTTGAGAAAAGCATCCATCATCCATCATCAATCAAATGTCAGGGAACCTCTCCATCAACGAGGAGGTATTTAAAATGAAACAGTAAAGGTCATTCCTATAAAATCAGGACGAGTTTTAATGAAAGGCTGGGTCCTGGGATGAGATTTGAGCCCCGGGGGCTACGTGGTGGGGCGTCTGGGATTTATCTCTGGGGAGGGAATCAACGACTGTCTTTACAAAAGAGACCATCCAGGTAAAAAGAGCAGATCTCACAGGATGGATAATTAGTGAGGATTCAACGATACCTGAGGGCTTACGTGAGGTTTCTGTTAAATATTTACAAGACTCTGGAGGAAGGAGGAGGATCTGCACAGAAAGCTGCTTATCTATTATACCTCAGCAGTGTTGGAGAAGACACGCAAGAGGAATGTTTGTAAGAAGTTGAAAACAGAACAGCTGCTGCATGCTTCTTTTGTGCCACTTTGGAAAAGCTTGCAGAATGACTGAAATAATACCACGGATGTGTAATGTGAATAATTGAAGAGCAGAAGTAGAGAGGGGGCATGCGAAGTTCACGGAAAAGTGAAAGGAAGTCATAACTCCAGCAGATTGAAAACACAAGCATCCATTGTTTCGCTATCATCGCTAAAAATCAACACGAGCCGCTTTCCTGCAAGATTCTCCAACAGAGCCATAAAACACACGAAAGAAGGCTTCGATGTTTTACACAGAACCAAGAAATAGAAGCTCAAAGTGACCCAGTGTGCGGTACTTGATAGCATGCCAGCATTTAAGAAGTAAAGTAGGCATTAAGTGTAGCATGAATGCTTACTCTGTGACGACCAACATGACCCTCCTTTCAGAGTATACAACAGTCCCAACGTAAACAGTGTGCTACTAAGGATCAGCTTTAAAAACTCGATACAAACATGACAGCTGTTATGCCCGTGTCCAGTAAGTGCTGGTTGTTTTTATTGAAATGTTTTAATATTTCAATCCCGTTTGCCTGGAACCTGGAGCGGCAGAAGCTTCCTTCACTGACGACAACAACCTGATTACATTTCCTCCTTTAAAAACACATCGACGTGCTGTACATGGGTGAAATGTCGCTCGTCGGAGAAATCAGTCCCGTGCAAGCCTTCCACAACTGTTAGATATGATGAATACATGACAATTTAGTGATTGCAGTGGAGTGCACCTCTGTAAAAAATACAGCTGCAATATTCTTCCTGGTGATGCATATGCAACAAGTCCGTGGGGGTTTCATTGGGGGGGGGCGTTACTCTTCGGCCGCGTCCTTCTTGCCGGTCTCCTGGCCTTCGAAGAGGGGGAACTTGCTCTCCACCTCGGCCCAGGTCAGTGATCCGTTGGCCAAGTCTCGAACGATGTCAGGCAACTCGCTGACCTGAGGAGAGGAAAACACGGTGAGGTTAAATGGAGGGAGTAATTACGGCTGAAAGGCGGCAGCGTTTAGGAAACTATTTGAAGGGATGTCGAGCAATAAATACACGAAAAAGGTCGACACCTGGGGCAACAAATGACCTTCATTTGACTCCAAGCTAATGGCACAGAACAGCTCATCTACACGTGACATGTAGCAGACGTTAGACACAACACTCTCTGGTCCTCAATCTACAAACTGAAGTCACATGCGTAAAACTGGAACAAACGTAAAACCCAAATAAGATGCTTCAGGTTTTGGTTTCGTGCACAAAGCCAACATGAGCATTGTTGTGGCTTGTGTAAACAGCTGTATTGATTTAAGTGCATCTGTTCCATCAGACTGTGTAGACCTGGACCTTCCTCTGCAGAGTTCACAGCACCATAGATGGAATCTCAGGGTATCTGCAGGAGTCCTGAAGTCACATGTAAGACCTTTAAAGACCTTTTTTAAGACCCTTCATACATTTTAAGACCTCATCGCCACTTTGAGTTTTAACCGGTTACCTTGGCGACTCACTTTACCTCACATTGACTATATACAGTATTGATTGTCCTTCCTCCTTATCTTCCAACCATTTGGACACAGACTTGCATTTCCCCATAACGATGTTGCTTAGCAACCGGCGTAAACGGACCTTCGCGCGCTATCAAGCGGTGAGCGTGCGATGTCCTGTTCAGATGACGTCACATCCAACGGGATGCCATAAATAAACTACACAGAATCACACTACACACCTACGCAATGATTACATTCAGGCAGACTGTAGAATACAACCTCTTTGGACCATTTATATACTTATTGAAAACAAGCTTCAAAATGTAATACCTTGGAAAATGCAGTTTAATACTTTTTAATAGCCTTCATTTTCGCTAAATTGATTTATCAACTTTTAATACTTTTTAAGACCCCGCGGACCCCCTGAGAAAAGATCATGCTCACACACAGTAAACCTCCCAGACATTAGCTTAAGCTGTACACAGTAGAAAAAGAGAGGAATCTTATATTACAGGGTCAATGTGTTGCATTAAAAGAAAAAGAAACAGCCGTTCAGCTGACAGGAGATGACGTCCAAAGCGATGGATTTTTGTCAAAGCATCCACCTGTTTAATCCTATCCTCCCCCTTAGGGCAGAGCGCCCTCTACATATGCAAATGAGTCTTCATTCAGAGTGACAAACCGTGGAGAAGTGCGACTAAGGGAGATGCAGGAGGTGAAGTAGTGATTTAGTACCTCGGCCCTGATCTGCCTCATGGAGTCTCGGTCTCTCAGCGTGGCGGTGTGAGGAGTCTTGTTCACCGTGTCGAAGTCGACGGTGATGCCGAACGCCACGCCGATCTCATCCGTCCGGGCGTAGCGCCTCCCGATGGACCCCGCAGAGTCGTCCACCTTGTAGGACACGTTGTTCTTCGTCATCGCCTCGGCTGAAAGAGGAGAAGGCAAGTTAACAAAGCGGCAGCATGTTCTCCCTCCTCTCTGACAGGAGTAGATCGTATACTGGAGGTTATCATTACGTGGTGCACTTACACAACTGCTTCACGAAGGGCACGAAATCCTGGTTTTGACTCAGAGGCAGGACGGAGCATTTGTAAGGAGCTACAGTGGCAGGGAAGCTGAAGTACTGAAGGGAAAAGGAAACAGGAATAGCATTAATGGAGGAAACACGCTCTTAAATGAATATCCTGTAATATTTCAGATGGGATTTGATCCAGTTCATGAACTTACCGTTCTCTGATCATCACCTTCTCGGACCTGGAATGTGTGCTCAAAGATGGAGTACATGACCCTGCCGATACCGAAGGAGGGCTCGATTACATTGGGAACTATTTCCTCCACTGTGGACGACAAAGACACGCAGACACTGTTAAAGCAGTCGCTCCAAATATCCACACCTCAAACCACAACTTTCCAATTGAAAGACTACCTCACACGATCGTCGCACCGAGCAGGATATCTCCAAATATGGATCAATAAAATATATCTTAACTTAAACTATAGCTTCAAGGATAAGTCGATGGTAATAAAAAGTTGTTATTTGTATTTTTAGACCCTTGAATATGGAGGTTTCTTGGGGTCTATTTGTCTTATTATTAATAAGACAAATAAATCCAATTAATACAGTTTCAAAATAAAAGACCTTTGGGGACAGGGATGATAGCTCATATATGAGACTTCAAAGGTCTTTTATTTTGAAACTGTACATCAGAATGTCCTGATTTTTTCTGAGTGACGACATGGGGTGTCCTGCTATCACCCTGGAGTGAGATGGATCTATGATACTGGACAGTTTTTGTTTTATTCTCATCCAAAAACAGGGATGACAGCTCATATATACTTCAAAGGTCTTTTATTTTGAAACTGTACATCAGAATGTCCTGATTTTTTCTGAGTGACTACATGGGGTGTCCTGCTATCACCCTGGAGTGAGATGGGTCTTTGATACTGGACAGTTTTAGTTTTATTCTCATCTAAAAACAGGGATGACAGCTCATATATGAG